AGTACACAAAAGTTCCCTTCTCTCTTTCCCTGGAATCGTCCCTCGCAGGATTGTTTAGTAGCTTGCCATACGTCTCGCCTAGTCTCATTTATAGGAATCAATAAACACGAACACTTCATCATTTGTTATCCACATATTCAAGACATATTATTAGAGTCCATACCATAAACAAGCTCATATTCCTATTGAGGACCCTCTTGGAACGCATATGATTTTATCCGCATAGGAGACCTAGAATATGTAAAGGTTGTCCGTGAGCTTCATTCAATCAGATGAAATGAGGTAAGAAGGGATTGATATCCCGGATACTCCACAGATCCTATAAGAGGTGGTCCAATCTCTGACGTGTACTGTAATCAGTACAGTCAGAGGGAGATCAACGCCTATGCGAGAGCGAAAGCGACACACAGTATATGAGAATTTTCTTATTTGCATGACATCCCTATCACTTTCTGAGGGGAGCGTTTTTACTCACAGAGGAGGAGAGCAATTTTGCTCCTTGGTGATGGAGTAAATTCGCTCCTTTCCCAGAGTGAAAGGGAGGTGAAACTGGAGTTAGCTATTTTACTCTCTTTTTTAAGAAAAATCGCTCCCCTTTTTCTAAGAGTGTACTGTGGTTCATAGTGGTGGTGGTGGTGATGGTCAGTGGCATGTGTGCGCGCACACATGACGCACGCATACGCATGCGCACAGCGCGATCGTGTGCTCTCCATACGCATAGTAATGGGTTCACGCAGCGTGGCCAAAGGCTACTAACGTTTGGAAACGTGCGCGGCGGGTTGCGATGTCCACAGAGCAGCGTCAGGCTGCTAGTAAAAGTCCATCTTTCGCACATAGTACTGCTTGTTAGAATATCAGCGCCCTGAAAACGGTAGCCGTAGACTTTGCTGCCGTCTCGTGTGCCTCCTACAGTTACGAAAATTGGCGGCTAAGGGTAAGAGATTGCACCAAGGAAGAATTGTGTTTTGTGATCCTTTTTTGGTCGAAGATGGCGTGAGGTACAATGAAATTTATCCCAGACTCAGGTCAGTTTACGAAAAGTTTACAAGAAGCAATGCTTACGAGTGGGTGCAAAAGAGTCAAAGTGGAATTAGCGAATGCTGCAGACGCGGCGCGTTCAGGCCTGTAACACTCGTCGAACGATTCGACACAAAGTGGAGGTGTCAATATTGAGTGTCGGAGACCACAACCTTTCAGGTTGTGGTCTCAGACACTGGGTGCGGGTCCTGAAAGGACTGAAGGAAGTCCTGAAAGGACCCGCACCCGTAGAACCGAAGAGCGCAGCAGATCTGCAGCAGTAGCGATAACGTGTAGTTCCTCTTCGTTCTATGCTCTAGATCGGGTCCCAATAAGTCCACCAAGTGGAAGATGCCCTGAGGTGTGATCCTGTACAGAAAGGTACCGAAATTGCCATTATCGCTATTTTATTTCTCACGCGAATCAATAACATGACAAGTTTCACATGCCAGAGGGGCAATCTCGTGCAGGAGGCATCCAGGGGTCCACTCCTTCGGGATAGCGCGACGTCTGTTCCCAAGGCTAAAATGGGCAATAAAATAATAAAATCAATGGTTTCATCCATTCTCTGTTCATCACACACCTTACAGGCTCATAGCGGCCTGACTCCTTTATGATAAACCTTGCACATAATTTACAATATTTATTGACGTTTCGAATGGTTCCTTGAATAGCGAAAGGAAAAGCAAGGAACTTACGACGATGAGTTCCCCGTCGTTATTCATGCAAGATGTCCAATGAGGATCGTAACGAAGGAGATGCTGGTAGCTTTCCAAGTCGATTCCGGACCAGTCAAACTCATTCAGATAGTCGATGATGGTCTGGTTCTCCGATACCATGTATTCGTAAGTTTCCCTATCGATAATATTCATCCGCCAAATCATTAGAATCAGAGGTACTTGATATTAAAGGCAAATTGCCGCTTTTTATGAAGTGGACACGCCTGTTCTAGTCGACTGCCTCGGAATCGGAAACTGGCTATTGCAATATTTTCCTGCATTGAGTGATTGCAAAATCTAGAAAAAAAATTTTTTTTTCACCTACTCATGTGCGAGATACTCAAGGTCAAAATAGTCAAATACCGCCATAGGGCGCTAGACAAATACAAAACAGAGTCGCATTTGGTGCATTTGTTGCCTACTACCTATTACTTATCAATTCTGTTTAAATTTTTCTTCTTCTGTAATGCTTCGTATCTTCATGTATCTAAAATTGTGGAAAATGCATATTGGTAAAAGAAAATTTGGTTTTTAGCCGGAGCCACGAGATGTCTTTCCCCACCCCTCAGCGCCGTATAGGGGTCATTGAATCATAGGCGCCGAACCCAGGGGGGCAATGGGTCACGTGTCCCCCCAACTATATTATTGAGGGGGCAACGCCCCCCAAGAATGGTAAAATTTCAACAAAAGTATAGCACATGGAAAATTGAAAACAAAATGCTGCTTCACGAAAGAAATGAAAAATATGATTTTCCTTTCTGTTTCCAGCTCCAACTTAGTAAGATCCCTGCCCCACCCCATAAGGGTATGGGGTGGAAGGGCCATGCCCCCCCCCCCCCCGCTCGTCAATATGCTACCATAATAATACCGAGCTACCCTAATGGATCCTGATTCCACCTCCAACCTAGTAAGCTCCCTGCCCCCCCCCATAAGGGTATGGGGGGGAAGGGCCATGCCCCCCCCCCCCCGCTCGTCAATATGCTACCATAATAATACCGAGCTACCCTAATGGATCCTGGAATAATTGCGTCATTGTTATTTCAGGGGCATTAGGAACTTGCCCCCCCCCCCTCCAATATTTTTTAAAGGTCGGCGCCTATGCATTGAATTCTTTGACCTTGAGTATCTCGAACATATGCGGCCAAAAATTTTATTTTCCTTCATGTTGCAATCACTTTACCAGCGCAAAAATTATAAAGGAATTTTAAAAATACTAATACTGGTATGGAAACCTAAAAAAGTTCTCATTGCGGAACGCGCTTTGAATGGGATGGAGCCACGAGTTAGCCCAACCTGTCTCTTTTTAGAGAGTTATTTTAGAAGATACAAATTGATTATTGCCGGACGGTCCAGATGCCACTACCATGAGCTTCTGGCTGCAGAGGACCTCAACTCGTCAAAGCGTCAACTCGTCCATCATGATCCCAATATTTATTGCCGCGTCACAGATGCCTACACTGACCTACTTTACCAGTTTTCTTTTTTAAAAAAAGGCTGAAATTTGAAATTAGTCTATTAAAAATTCCGTGTTAAAAGATCTTTCTGATTTCGAGACAGTCGACTACCCCCGAAGCCGTTAAATGTCCCAAATTCATAGGTGGGCGTCTCTTAAGAATGGGCATGAACGAAAAACCCACGGGTTAAACCAGAGGTCGGTTATGCCGAACAGGTTTTTGATTGCATCATAATCGGGAACACTCAGGCAAGAAGCAATATTCTGGGCTGGATAGTACTGAAGGAACGCCAGACACATCTCGTCCGTGGTTTTGAAACCACCGATGGTCACCGAATCCCGATCCGACGAATCAAAATCGCATTCTGAGATAATAAAATTAAATCCTCGGATGATAAGTTTCTCCATGAGATGAAATATTGGAGATAAGAACGAGAAGGAACTTGCCCATAACGAGATGGTCTCCTGGATAAAGGGTGATTGGTTCCCTGAACACCCGCATCTGCTGGAAATTGAAGTCGTAATTGTCGTCGTTCTGAAGCCAGGGCATTTCTTGGCCGTTTCTGAATAGCCGGACTCGCATTTGTCTCCCTGCATTCAATCGTGGAATTATGGGTATCGGATAGAATCCTTTGTTAGCACAACTTTGCGGGAGCACTCACCGATCCAATGCGAATGGAGGATTCCGGCGAAGACGTGGATCCCTTCAGTTGGCAACGTGGCTTGCGTGCACGAGGGGCTGCAGTGACCGATATTGTAGAATAGGCTCTGTCTCGCTGGGGTTATCTGTTCATTAAAGCGAAACCGTGCAATTGATTTCCGTGATTTGCAACAGGAGTTATGCAATAGATATACTGAAATAATGCTCATGTTGCAGAAAAGTTCATTAGATATTTGCGGAGTATTTGTCTAGCCTTTAAAAGGGGCATAAAAAAGAGCCTAATGCCGAATGAAAAAGTGAGAGCCACGATTTTCTTTCAGTGCTCCCTTTCAAACGGATCGGGTAGCTGAATGGGAAATTTCAGGATGAGGCATTGTGTTGCATGAAAGGAAAGCTTGAATCGTTGAACTGTTGAAGTTATTATTGGAGGCTATTAGGGCTGAGGCAACACAAAAGCAATATGATTGTAAATAAAAAACTTTGATATTGGTAAGAATGTAACATTTTGATAATATTCGTTCTAGGTCTTGTTTCTGAATCAAAATATAAAAGAAGAATCTATTTTGTATATCATAACTTAAAAATTGCTTCTGATTCATTGTAGAAATGTGACTTATTTTTTCGTTCAAAATCACGAAAATAACATTTTTAACCGACTGAAGCTATGAATTATTGAATAATTAATCAGCTTTGTGAGCTATGAATTATTAATAGGCAATAAGAAGCATGGGGGATTGGAGGCAACATAATTAGAAAATGTTATTTTTCATGTCATATGAGTATGAAATATCGATTGATATCGTGATGTGATGTAAATGTGTAGAGCAATCGTACAAAAAGAAAAAGTTCACACTCATCTACTATAACTTTTGTCGTTTTTGGACTAGAACAGTGGTTTTGTGCCAAAAGAAACAGCATTCGTTCGCGTTCATGTATTAATTGTAAGTAACCCTCCACGGTGCCGAAATTGAATGTTATGGTATAAACCAAATAACTGACGGTATTATTATTCGTACGTCTCGGCCACACATACAGAGGAGAAAGGGGTGACAAACAAAAATAAACAAGAACAGCGAACAGAAACGGCACGGAAGGGTACACATTCGCGCATCACCAGCATATTTACACTTGGAGGGGGAGAGACCTTAGCCACTCCAGGGCCTAGGGGGTGGCATGATGGATTCCGTCGAGACCTCCGGGAAAGGGGTGGAGTATGCACCTCGGCAGGTGGTCCATAGTTTGCGGAAATCCGCACGGACAGAGAGGGGTGTCGGAGTGGTCCCACTTGAAGAGGAGGTAGTTGCACCTCCCGTGGTTCGTCCGGAACCTGTTGATCGATACCCATAGCTGCCTGGGGAGGTTGAATCCTGGCGGTTCTTGGGTGGGGTNAACAAGAACAGCGAACAGAAACGGCACGGAAGGGTACACATTCGCGCATCACCAGCATATTTACACTTGGAGGGGGAGAGACCTTAGCCACTCCAGGGCCTCGGGGGTGGCATGATGGATTCCGTCGAGACCTCCGGGAAAGGGGTGGAGTATGCACCTCGGCAGGTGGTCCATAGTTTGCGGAAATCCGCACGGACAGAGAGGGGTGTCGGAGTGGTCCCACTTGAAGAGGAGGTAGTTGCACCTCCCGTGGTTCGTCCGGAACCTGTTGATCGATACCCATAGCTGCCTGGGGAGGTTGAATCCTGGCGGTTCTTGGGTGGGGTCGTCTATCAGGTGGTGGTTCCGGAGATGTACGGAAGACGCCCATTCGAACTTCCAGGCCTCCATAGGGTCGAAGGGGCCTTCGTGGAGGGCGCCACCAGTCATCCAGAAGGGCTTTCTCGACTTCAGCCGAGCTCTAGGGGGCCTGGCCAAGATCTTCTGAAGGGGGGTGGGGGTCTCCCGTGGTTCTAGTGTCTTTTCGAATTCCCTGACAGTTGCTGCTTTCCTCCGGATGGAAGGAGGAGCGATGTGGGAGAGGACCGGGAGCCATTCCACTGGCGTGGATTTGATGGCCCCCGTTATGACACGCATAGCCGCGTTCAATTGCGTGTCCACTCTGCCCACATGAGCACTGTGGGCCCAAACGGGGGAACAGTACTCGGCCACGGAGTAAACCAGCGCCATGGTGGAAATCCTCAGAGTTTGGGCGTCGGAGCCCCAAGTGGCACCCGCGAGTCTCCGAATAATGTTGATTCTTGGCTCGAGTTTTCCCCGCAAGGTCTCCAGATGGGCCCTATAGGTCAGGGTTCGATCCAGCGTTATTCCAAGGTACTTGGGGCACGGGTTGCGTTGGAGGACGCCCCCGGCGAACTCCGCCTTGATGGTAGTGTTCACTTCCTGAGTTGTTAGGTGGAAGACCGAAGAGAAAGATTTCTGGGGGTTCGGGATCAGCCTCCAGTTGGAGAAGTAGTCCCCCAGGCGTAGAAGATCGTCGTTTAGCAGGTCTTCGGCTTCCTGGAATGAGGGGGCTTTGGTGAGCATCGCTATGTCGTCTGCGTATTGAAATACGCTTCCTAAGGTGGCAGGGATGTCCGATAGGTATAGATTGAAGAGGGCTGGGGCCAGCACCGATCCCTGGGGGAGACCGTTTGTGAGACGTCTTGATCGACTCGAACGCCCTTCCATGACGACCTTGAAGGTTCTGTTGGACAGCATTTGGTCAATGAGTCCAACCATGACAGGGCAGCGGAGGCATCTCCAAAGCTTCAGGATCAGCCCTCTTCTCCAGACCGTGTCGTATGCTGCAGTGAGGTCGAGGAAAGCGGCCGCGACCTTCTGGCCTTCTTGGAAGACTGCCTCGATGTGGCTGGTGAGGGCGAGGACCTGCTCGCAGCAGGCACGACCCGGTCGGAATCCAGCTTGTTCGATGGGGATCATCCTGTCGAGGTAGGGGAAGATTCTCTCCAGAACCACCCTTTCCAGCAGTTTGTAGGATGTGCATAGTAGAACTGACGGTATGAGGTGTGGTCACGGTCGTCACGGTCCAGAGATGTTGACATGTAGGTATCTGCGCACGGTTTCGAATATATATTTTTGGTACCATGCAAGCAAAGAAATTGGTGAAATCATGGAACCCCTTCGAGTTTCGTTTCTTTTGGCACAAAAGCCATTGTTCTAGTCCAAAAATGGCAAAAGTTACAACAATTTAAAAACAGGAAATGACTCTCCAAACACCCTGCACTTTTACTTAGTTGATGACCATTATGAGCGTTTTGGCGACGGAAATTGCAATATATCATTCAAGTTCTTTTTGTTCTATATCTAATAGTATTCATGCATTTTTTATTCCTGTCACTCCGAGAACACTCTGAGAGCTCCCTTTCGAGATTTTTTCCTCTGATGACAGGGATGAGTTCCTTCGTCTGCTGTAACTCCGGGTGGAAACCGATCATTAAAATCTAAACGCGTAAATTGAACCAACAGTCCACAGACCTGTGTAGGTTCGACCTGTGCGCCGACTTGCACGGTCGCCATTTCCAGAGGTCGAAGGACGTCGGTGTAGTAGATTTTGATGCCGGAGTCTTCCTGGACCCCAGACACCAATTCTGGGTTATCGTAATGCATTTCCATCATGAAGTACGTCCCGCTTGCAGGAAGGACGTACCCCACGTTCTCCGGGTAGGCATCTCCCTATCAACCATATAAGAGGATTCATCTTGCGCTTTGCTTTGAATAGCACCAGCTGCTAAGATGAACTGAATCCAAGCAATAGAACTGCATATGTTAAATAACGTCGATTTGTTAGATCATAGACTTTCTGCAACAGTTCGAAATCATTTCTCTAGATCGAGGTGGAGAAAAATCATTCCTTCGAGGTGAAACTCATTTTAAAATATATGTTGTCATTTAATTTTATGTATACCCTCAGTCAATTAGCTGAAAGCAAATATGAATGTCCTTCATCACCGCCGACAGCCCAAGCGACAAGGAGACTGCGACACTTCCTCCATTCCAATGGGTGATCGGGCCCGTCGCACACGACTCCTTCCTGCTCCGCCCACGAGTCGAACATTGCCTCTTGCTCTTTAGCGACGTTGCAGCCGAAGAACTGCAGGTGGTGCACGTACCTCTCGTTCCCTGGCTTCACGTGTGGCTTGTACTGTCGAGAGGTAATGAAAAATTGTGAATCTGCTTGTCAATTACATTCCAAAGTGATGGATGTAATTGTGTCTATTTAGTACTCACTCCGATGACGTGATGCGTTGTATCCAATACGGGTGCCTTGTGAATTTTACACCAATAAGTCGTATCCATGGCAGGAAGCACAATTTTGGTGGTCACAATCCATTCTTTGATCGACGGATCGTCGGGTATCTCCCCTATGAGGATTTTTAATGATAAATTTATTGTGGAGTTTCCTCCATCTAGTATACGAGTAACACCTGCAATTAGTGGATACCTTTCATTGCGCCTACCACTGTACAATTGACAGAGTAGCTGGCACTTTTGCGCTTGGATTCGTGCTTTGTTCTTAGAAATTGCTACTAATGTTCCTTGTAATGAATTGAAGGGGCTCTCCATGGTTCGTTTTTCGTCAATATTCTTTGCTTTTTCTTTCCTGTCATTTCCATATCCTTCTGCTTCATCCTTTGCTTTTTCTTTTCTGTTTTTTTTTTTTTTCTTTCAACGTGTTCAGTGACTCGCGACAATCTATGTCATGGAGAATTTGAAACTCACCGAGTGGCGGGTCGAGTAGATAAATGGATTTCGTCCCCCTGTTGCTTCCATGGTAATACGGATCCTCTCCTTCGGGATCCGCATCTCCATAAGCAAATATGACTCGAACTGTATCACCCTAAGTAGAACAGAAGTGCATAGAAGGTCGATCAATCGGATTGTTTGATTTGTCATGAACGCTTATCGAAAGAATCTTTGGCTCTGACAGTAGGTTCGAGGAATGACGGGCATTAAGTCATATAATGATTAGTAACTGCCTCTGACCGTGATGAAGTAGTCTTGATCAAGATCGCAAGTGTCGAATTCCCTCGTGAAACGTATAACGGTCGCCGTGCCCGTTTCCACAGCAGATATCAGATTGTAGTTGGGCACATCGTCTACTCTTGGGAGTTCGTGGTCCACAGGAACGTGCCTGTCCTGTGATATTGCAAGGACACTGAATGAATGCCGATTGCATATTTAGCGACTCTCTTAGATCCTTCAAGGGCTCACGGCGAAGAAGATTTGTCCATCCTTAACCCAGGCAGTGATGACGTCAGAATCTCGCATCCCTCCGGTGGGAGAGAAACCCAATCCAATCCATCCGAGGGTCTGGACGGTGTATTCAAACTCGATGACCTTTGCATCGAGGTCGGGGGTCCATGCCAGATGCACCTTGCCCTCTGGATCCAATATTGCCTCTCGTTCCCATGCGTTCACGGAAGGCAGAGAAATCCCTCCGATGAAGAGCCAGAGGCTGAGGGTGAAACGAATCTCCTTCGACACCATTCTCACAGGGATGAATTGAGGGGAATCCCTCGTGTCGAGGGTCTCTCTTTCTTTATATCTGTACTGCTTTGTCTGAGAATCATAAACGTTGCATGTGGTTCGTCAAGTGCGTTTGCTTATGCCTCTTGTGCTTATGACTGAAGAGGTACTGGCTGGGAGAATATCTCAAGTGTTTAAGTTCTATGGTCTGTCCCTTAATGGCATTCTAACGTGATTGTAACTTGAAGCTCAAAACCCTCGGTACAAAACAACATAGTCTAAGGCTTCTGTGTTGTTATATTCCTAAGAGCATGCTTTTCGATCTTAAGAATCACCTAGTAAGACGCATATCACTCATGGAAATATTCATTGAAGTTAGCCTTGTTCAATTATGAAATGCATGCTGTTTCCCTAAGAATTGACTTTTACACATACGTCACTTTTGCTTCTTGCGAGTCCTTTCCATCCACCAGGGTTGAAGGGTAGTTTAGTGATAATAATCATCTAACTCGCAAAGAACACAAACAAATTAATTTAAAGTATTTTTTTCAATAGTAAAAGTACTATAAAGTAATTAATTTTTTTTTTTAACTTTGAGAACGCGGAATTTCTTTCTCTTTAATTTGCTCTAAACACGCACAGAGACGCGACCGACACATTATATAAACAATATCAGATGATCTGGATTGCGCAGGTGACGCTGACGTAGAGGTTTTTCAAGGAAATTCCATAGGTGAGGTCAGACATTTATCTTGAAAATCGGCGGTTCCATGTGGAATGTTTGTGGACGGAATGGTTTAGGGATAGTACCGATGTGGCGGATTGATTAACGGTTTCTGATCGCTGCTCCCCGGTGGAAACTGGTTCCTAATTCCGTGCATCTCGAGGAAATTATCACAAGTGGCAGTGACAGCAATATAAATCAGTTATTATTAACCGAGTGGAATTATAGCAAATGAAGCCCCATTCTAGCGAAATGCGGCCAAACCGGCCTGGTTGTCCAGGTCGCTTTCTCCCCGATCATTCCACGACTCCTCTTGCGTACACTAACAAGGACTGCAAGTGTTCTCACAAAAAAAAGCCGATTGCCCGACATGTGTTTCCGAAAAGCATTTTTAAAAAAAACTTGTCGGACAGGGTGCTTCTCTTGCCCAAGTGTGTTTCTTTCCTCTTTTCAGCCGTCATTATTTCCTTTGGAGCTCTTTCCTCTGTCATTCATGATTTCTTTGTTTTTTCTCGATCCCAATGCGTTGCGATCACAGACATACCCTATCGACGTCGATGGCAAAAAAATAACTTTAACGATTTTGTTAATTTTGTCAATTCCAAGAAATAAAACGGCACAGCGATCGTTCCTAATGAGGGACTGTGGGACACCTTTTGTAGGGACTGTTTTCTAGATCTCTCACGAGATCTCGAGCAGACGATTGTATTGCTGGAACGAGAAATGAAGCACCGAGAGACATTTTCGCACGTTCTCTTCAGAATTACTCTATTTTCTTCCAGGTCATTGAAATCAAGTATTCAGAAGAAGCGCTGATGGACAGATTGCTTCCCCGAGTATAAAGGCGAAGTATGGCAGTGGGTTTTAAAAGCCTTCTTTTATGGATGCTTGCAATGTTTACAGATGGGTAACAGATCCTCTATGTGGTGCACATGATACGTTAAGTGAAAATGATGCTTCGGAAACGCATTTAAATGAGCTGTAAACCCAAATAGACCTCAACTTCTTCCTCGTTCACAAACAACAACCCCGGATATTTCTTTCTTTTTGCCTAAGTTTCAGTGAGTCCCTGATCTTGTACGCGGTTGAATTGATCTTGTATGCTAACTTCTAGACGATAATTGCTATCACGTTGGCCAACCCTGAATGAATTGAGAAAGATACGATCGTTTTGCAAATAATGTTTATTCACACCACAGAAAACATGAAATTCAGAGAATTTGAATGTGCTTCCAGAGGGTGTATGTTTGAGCTCGCATACTTTTGATCCCCAGTGCAGGAACAGATGTTCAATCAACCTTTTAAATGGGTAAGGTACATTGACATGAACAATAAATTTTATTTTTCAGTTATGTCAGGGCGACTCAAGTTATCCAGTCCGGTGACAGACAAATCTCAACGTCTCAGATGAAAGATGTCTCTATTTGCACGTTGGTACAAAAAACCCATAGTTTTGTAGAATACTAGTATTGGTATTTAAAATATTAAAAAGGAACTCCGAAAACGGCGTGAGTGGTCAAAATAAGCCTATGCGGACAGTGCGATGCGTGTCGTAAGAAAGTGAAAATGAATGGAGGCACACGAAGAAAAAGCTTGGGAATGGGAATCACATGAAAATCAAAGACCGAATGCTGTGTAGGTACTTGCCACTTCTTTCCATTCGACGTTACTAACGTACTGAAGTGGGACAGCAAAATATATAGACGATTCCATTGCAATTATTTAGAAAAGAAGCTGTAGGTCAAATTGTGAATGGCATGACAGGAATTGTTAATACTTCACGATGAACTGGTGTTGGATCAGGTTATTCAAAAATACGCAAGACGTCTCCTTATAGAAGGCAAAAAAAATCACGTTTTGTTTCTACACTGTACATGCAATAGATAAGAAGTCGCTCATGGTTTGCTATTTTAGGGTCAGTCTCACCTGCGAGGTTGATCTTCAATGCTGTCCGACGTCTGTGGGAATATACGTATTTACTTTGTTCGCCTGTTAAAACTGCAGAATTCTCATGGATGCATTGTCTTTAAGCAAATCTTAATTGGCGAATCTTAATTGAGAAAAAGTAACACTGATACGCGCCAGTTTTAGTCTCTTCGTTTTGTCCGCAGATTCATAAAAACTTGACTTGAATGCCAATCCATCTAATCTTTTTCCTCTCATGGTGGCTGTCACGTTGCTCATCTGATTCGTGCACAAGTTGCTCGAGGAGAGAAGAGGCTTTGTTGACTGGCTGTTAACACGCAGAAGTAAAGGAAGTAAAAAAGAAATCGTCGTGATTGTCTCCTTCGCACGGCTCATCGGGCGCTTCCGGAAAGTAAGATTTTCCCTTTCGCTTCAGTTCTGATTCATTCTCGAACAGATCCCCTCCCTTCTTCACCTGATAGATTGATGGATTCTTGATACCACGGTCGGCCTTCGCTACCGACCTCACAGTTGTCGAAAGTCGTCAACGACATGTTTGTTGGCTAGCGATCCCTATTTTGACACAGTCATCTATACTTTACAATGGAAACGGGGAACGGAGCTCGTCGAAGCACATTCCTCACACGAATCTGACCAGAGTCTGACTTTCCGAAAGCGCCAAATGACGGATTTCAATTGGAGCACTTTCGCTTGGGAGGCATCCAGGGGTCCAATCCATCAGGATAGGTCGTCGTTGCATTCCACGGCTAAAAAGGGATACGAAGGTTATGGAACCTTATATAGAATATAGAACGGGATGTGTGACTCTCTTTTGCACACAAAGTAATGAATATGACAAGCTTTTTCCATTCTATTTTTGGATTAAATTATGATGACGCATCCTCCAGGAACACTCTTAGGGTCTTGAAGTCTCTCTTTTAAATCAACGACCATGCTCTTAGCGAATATTTCCTGAAAATCATATTATCCTACCCTTCAAATATTTGTCAGTTGTTCTTTGGAAACCTCCAGACCAAACCTCCGTTGGAAATAGAAATGATAATTTTCATCAGGAAGGAAATGCCCTATTTCCGCAATTATAGATTAAATGGTCACGGTTTTCTGGCAAAGCCTGCAATCTAAAAATGGTTCAGATCGGCTCCTGGCATTCAGACGCTACGAGAAAAATGCCTACTCTTCAGCAAACAAGTGTACGAAGCCTCAATATGATCCCATGATCCTGGGCAGCCTGAAAATCTGGAATCAGCGTAAAGCTAAAGAAGGCTAGAATGCTGAAAAATCGTTCAGGCAGATTAAGGGGCCTTCTTCCCCCCCCCCCCCCCCACAAATGAGTCCATGTATTCTTAAAGAATCACTAATTAAAAGAGGTTTCAACATTCTGACCAGACTCTTCAACGACATGAATTGCTTTTTCTCATTTGCCTTCCATAAAAGAAGCGCCTTTTCGCAACGCTATATGAATCTTATCGCTTGTCCATTATAGTTTATAGGAAGAATGAAATAATTTTTTTATAGAAAAAAAGATCTTTAAAGAAATATTTTTTAAGGATCTAAAAGATAGGCTTTTCATTCTCAATACAGTCGTTGTGTGATCTAGGTACTACTTAAATTTAATGTCACATTTCGCAGAGGTTTAGCTCGCAGAGACTTGGCTTATGGCCCCTGTATTTAGAGAAGTAACTCTCGGTAATAGAAGTCCTATTTTGACTAATGTGGATTGTGAAGCGGTTAAACGATTAAAGAAGGCCCTCACGAGGATGAGATCGCCATCATTGTTGCTGCATAATTCTTTGTGCGGATCGTAACGAAGTAAACGCTGCAAGCCTTCAATGTCGAAATGCGACCAATCCAGCTGATCGAGATAGTCCACCAAGGTCTGATTCTTCCCGTTGTTTGACACCATGTACTCGTAGCCATCTTTCCTGTTGAGAAGCATTCGTCCCGGAAACAGCCAAGGATCTACATGGCGTGGGATCATAAAGGGAAAGAAGCACCCACGAGTCGAGCCAGACATTGGAGATGCGGAGCAGAGCGAAGAGCTTCTCGTAATTGGGGAGGCTGAGGCAAGAGGCGATTTTCTGAGCTGGGTAATACTGAAAGAATGCCAGACACATTTCCTCCTGGGTTCCAAAGCCACCCACGGTCACCGATTTCCGATTTGACGAATTGTAATAGCATTCTGGAAACAAGTGAAATGCTAGGTAACGCAATCTTGAATGATTCCATCAAATCATATTTTAGGAAGAACTTGCCCAAGGTGAGTTGATCTCCAGGGTACAGAGTGACTGGTTCCCGAAGTACTCGGGCCTGCTGGAAATTGAAGTCATAATTGTCGTCGTTCAGGAGCCAGGGCAATTCCTTGCCGTTTCGGAACAGTCGGACTCGCAATTTCCTTCCTGCATTCGACCACGCATGTTAGGATGCTCAGAAGAAGCGGCTAGTAATCTGTATCTTCTAGAAATGATCTAGGGTAGTTTTAAAATTTCGGGTCTTCTCACCGATCAAATGAGAATGGAGAAGGCCGGAGAAGATGTGAATCCCTCCAGATGGGAAGGCAGTTGCTGTGCATTTGGAGCTGCAGTGGCCAACGTTGACGAAAACTTTCTGTCTCGCCGGAATGATCTGTTCATTGATAAAGCCTCCAAGGTGTGCAATGCTTCGGTCACAAAGAACCATGACTCCGAATTGACAATCAACGAATGTTCACGTAATTACTGAGTGATGAGTAAATACTGAGTTCATTGCTTGCTTGCTAAGGACATTGACATCGGTAACATGGTTATCTGCAGGGTGTGGCAAAAAATACAACGATTTTCACCATTACATCTTCCTTCCCACCAGAGCCATTTTCACGGAACTTTCTCTGTCCATTGATGTATATTACCAATTTACCCTCAAATTTAATGGTTATCTGCAGGGTGTGGCAAAAAATACAACGATTTTCACCATTACATCTTCCTTCCCACCAGAGCCATTTTCACGGAACTTTCTCTGTCCATTGATGTATATTACCAATTTACCCTCAAATTTACTTCAAAATTTACTCCTCCAAATCATCCTCAATGATATGAAGAACGATGAAAATAAATTGGGGGTAAGAGCTGATGCTGGTGGTAGAGTGGAAGACATCCACGACTGCTCTGCTTGCATGTCATTCAACTTCTCTTCAATTGAAGTTTATTTTTTAGGTTGGCCTTTCCTTGCAAGGGGTTTTGTTCCAGTTGGTGATAGGCGAATCAATAAGTGCCAAAACAGAGTTTGCTGAAAGTTTATTAATGTTTTATGTTGGTCTCTAGGTAGACGAGGCAGGAGGGCGTGGTACTCAGAAGGGATTGGAGTATCCTGTCCATTTTCATTATTCAAGTAATTACTCCTGGCCTTGGTTCACTTTTCTTTGCGAAATGGCGCATCGCAATCAACTAAAAGGGCAATTTTCGTCATCTACGAGTCAATATCTTTCTTATGGTTGGTCTCTTTCCTCCGAAAACTCCCGAGGAGTGGCTACCCAGAGGGAAGGGGGAAAAAAATGGAAAGAAATTCACATACTCCAAAAACGAGATTCAGTGTTCTCCACAACCCCAGGGGGATAGAGCTTCAAATTTGCTGGAGCTACTCAGTGTCGAAAGAGGAAGAAGCACGCTTCTGCGTGCTGTTAATACTTTCAGAGAGGAATTTTGCTACGGGAAAGGAAGGGTTGAAGAAAGGTAATAGGCGCTACCAAAGCCTATTGATATTTTCTCATCCTCGCCTGGATGGCTTAAAGCGTTCATTTTACGCATGATATAACGTGATTACATAGGCCTACTGGACGGAATATGACCCAAGAATATAGAATTGGAAGTCGCCTTACCTGAGTGGGGCCGACGGAGGCGCCGATTTCCAGACTGGCCATTTCCAGAGGTCGAAGGGCGGCTGTGTAGAAGACAGTGATGCCGGAATTATCATAAATCCCTGTCACCTTTTCAGGGTTGTTGTAATGCATTTCCATCATGAAGAACTTTCCGCCCGCAGGGAGAACATATCCCACGTTCTTTGGATAGGTCTCCCCCTGTCCCCATAAACGAAGTAGTACTTTTTTAGTTGTTTTACCATTATACCAATTGCTTTATGGGTAGGCATCAGCTGTCGCGTTCAGCAGACTACAGCATCGACCCAAGAACATACCATGAAATACATGAAATTAAATAATGAAAAATATAAACTAGAGAGTACCAGCCCAGGTACAGATCTGCCATTCCATTGGCCCCTGTATCACTGGAATTTTTATATATATTCACCGCATCCTAACCATCCAACCTTGAAATAAATAATGGTTGTCATTGGTTCGGCGTAGGCCCATATGAAAAGGCCTGTAAACTAGACATGTTCTGGATTGTCCGCACGTCCGCGTCGCTTGGAGACGGGAGGACAGTATGATGTGTAGGATACATGATTTCACGAGTGCGCCTAGCAAACCTGTCTGCGAGGCTGGGAGCAGCCGCCCTCCTCCATTGTCTACTATAGATCCGTCAACCGTCAGGACTGGAAGGGAAGTGAATATTTTCGTGAAAGACTGGCACCCCAACCCAGGCGGAAAGCTGCGCGTGCGCATATAGGTCGTGTTGTCCGGTTGCTATGGTTACCGCGGGCAGACGTAAGCAAAAAAAAAGTCACAAACCGACCGCAACATCTGGTATTTCACCATAGTACCTTTGGGGATGGCAGATAAAAATCCGTTTGATTCAGTCTACTGAACTGAGTTCAACAGACTATACCATAGATTCGAGAACTTGCATTAATTATCTGAAACGAAATAATGAAAAATAGAAAAATTTGTTCGATTCCTTTTTTTTTTAACTCCACAACTGCTTGTTCACCCAGGTGAACCCCATGTGAATTCCCCTCCATCTTACTGAATGTCACAAATTCAAATCAAGAGAAATAGGAAAACTTTGAGGCTCACGTACCTCCCCCCCGACAGCCCAGCCGATAAGCGCGAGTCGACATCGCATCCATTCCCTGGGATGATCCGGTCCGTAGCACAAGACCCCGTCCTGTCTCGCCCACGAATCGAACTTGGCCTCCAACTCCTTCGGTATGCTGCAGGCGTAGAGAATCAGGTGGTGCACGTAGTCCTCGCTCCTGGGATCCAGGTACGGCTCGTACTGGTCGAACGAGATTCAGTGGGTGTGTAATCACTCCATTGAGTAATGATTGATTCGTTGTCAACGATTGGACATTGAATTATTAACGATTTATTGTAATGTGTGGATATATGAGTAAAACCATTCTGGCGAAATTCTCTTCCCTGCTTGTGTGGAAGTTTAGAAAGGGGGACTAGTGGGAGTTGTGGGAGTTTAGAAAGGAGAGGGATATGCAGGAAATCCACTAAAAAATTGGGGTAGGTAGTAACTGTCCGTTCTCAGTTCTGTTTAGAACATCCTGCATTTTTCTTTGCACATCGTGGCTATTAATCAACCGAAACTGCTGGAATTTTCTTGTCGAAATCGCATAGAAATCGATAAATGATATATACAGGTACATTGCAAGTTAGTAAACATCCTTAAGCTTCCCTTTCTCGCGATTTCTAAAATGTAGCGTGCTTGTATTATTTAACGTAGGAAAGTAAAAGCCCAATTTCAAAGGTTTTATTTTTCTTAAACCTCACACCCCACCTCTCTCTCTATGGAACTCAGTAACGTTGGGCCTAGGCCTAACCGACGGACTGTCTCTGGGTAAGGCCTAGGCCTACCTTATTCCGTTCAAAAGAAACTCATTCCTCGGCCTACGGGCCAATTAGGCCTATAAGGATTAATCCCTCGTCTTCGAGACACTTCGTTGAGGACGTGTAACGTTAGGCCAATCGCAGACCTATTCAGTATCTCATGGCCCATTTAACAGAGAACGCGCAACGTTAGACCGAATGTAGGCCTTTTTCGAGTTTCATGAACCATTTCAGTGCGGTCCAGGAGCATTATGCCTATCCAGAGTTCCTCAAATCGTCTGGAATCGTTCTGAGAAGAAAGTACCTTTAGGTCTCATGACATACGAGCTGGCCACTACCATGTTAATTTAGGGATGTCCGGATAATATATCTCAATATTCAACCAAATCCATCGGCCACTGCAAACCACCGTTTCAATCTCAGCTCATCCCATGAATTCAGCACGATGTTTTCTACATTAAAAAGAGAAGATCCAGACAACGATACTAAGGCCGAAGAAGTCATGAATCTGACAGCGCCGACGTGATATCCGGCAACACTGGAGGACGGGACAGGAGCCATTGCACTAAGCCTAAATTAGCGGCATCTAATGGCCGTTTGCTTTCAGTGTGCCATTTCGCCATAAAATGGCGAAAAGATACACTGAAAAAGGTACACTGTTTTCGGATTGAATGATACCCCCCTATTGTGGAGAACGGAGAAAACACAAGCTTTCCAGACGATCCTGTAGACATCAAGCCTGCTGCTCTGCACGGTTTATGGATGGTTCTATTAATACTTCACCTTCCATCCGCAAGGTGTCCTGCCTGTACTTGATGGAAGCGCTCCTAGGGGGGGGGGGTATCAATTCAATCCAAAAACAGTGCATTGATATTGAGAAGTTACAGAGGAAAATACGCGACTTGATTTTCTCGTCGAAAATCAAAATAAGTCTTCGAATTCGCATTCGAAGCCAAAGAAGGCTTCGAATCCTATCGGTTTTTTATGTTTACAAACGACTCATCTTGGGAAACCACATTTTCTGATCTAGCTCAAGTCAGTTGCTAATGAAGGTATCAAAACTATTTTCCCCGCCTAGTAATCCGAATGAATTCCAACGAAATCCCCATTTCCATCAGTAGCGAAATCGGCATATTTTGCAACCGTGGGTTCGGGTTGGAGAAACCGGCTCCTTGCATGATGGGGGGGGGGGGGGGGTCTCTGTAAATTTAATCTTCAGCCACAAGACGAGGTTAAGAACGTCTGTGATGGGGACGAACGACTAGTCCTGTCTCATTTTCTTTCTAGCAATTCGAAATGCGCGAATCGTATGGACTTGACTCGTGACCTACAGTAAAATGACCCCAACAAGTTTTCTTTTTCCCCCCTCCTGCACGAAACGGGCATATTCCGCTCGGCCTTTCGAAGGGACTCAGTCTCTTTCCTGTTTGGGTGAACACATTGCGCCCCTCCCCCCCTCCCACTTGCCCCCCCCCTCCTACCCCCTGTGAGCGTCTCATCATGTCTACCCGTCGTCTCTGCCATCCAGTCCTGGTCCCGCTTCAAGGCATGTCTTCAGGTGAAGTCCTGTTCCTGTCTGGGTACTCCTTTAAAGGTGTAAATGAATGCGTTAGCTGAGGTTGTTCCAATGGACATCTATTATTTGCGCTGCTCCGTGGAATCCAGTTTACCAGGTCTCGTATTTCAGACTTTCGAATCTGAGGTCTCAAAAAGCCACGATACGAGTAAGGGGCTGTACACACGTCACTGTGATAACTGATTTGATAATTTAAAAAAAAAAGATATTTTCTTCCCTTTTCATTTACGTATAACAAACATCCAGACTTTATAGGTTACACTATCATTCCTACACTTTTGAACCTCGTTGCTGATCATTATCCTCCAGGTAACTTTTCTTCATCTCACGTTGTGTGTTCGAGTATAGAGTTATTTTTTAAAAAGAAAATCGCATAAATGGATTTGAAAGAGGGACCGATAATGCACCAGTGAAACCAAAAGAATGACAAAAAGCTATGGAAGACTACATTTCCATTTCGCTGCTGAGCAAGAATCACAAACACCTGATCTCTAAAAGAATCTGCCCTCCTGGGCGTGAATGGAAAACGCACTCGTTCCCAACCCGCACGATGCGGAGGCGGGAACGAGAAATCGCGAAGGCGCCGTGTTTGTCCTATTATATTGGGATTGATGTGTGTGCAATCTGGGCTGAGAATTGGAGGCTGTTTTGCACCAAACTGAGAATCGGAACCGTTGTTCTGATTTACCAAGAGTCTGGAGGGAAAAACTTCACCTGGAGCTCTTGGATTGAGGGCTAACCTAATTATCAATTGACAAAACTCCCCCTGTCGTGGGCTTTATGTTAATTCGATGATGTCACGATGGGTTTGGGGCGAATCCTCAATCTAATTGAAAGAATGAACGCAGAAGCCGAACGTGGCCGCAGTCATCTCCAGTCTGTATCACTCACCACGTGATATTTATTTAAAGTAATAAAACGGGGTCGTGACTCACCCCGATGATGTGGTGCGTGACGTTCACCTCGGGCGTCTTGTGGATGGAACACCAGTAAGTTGTATCCACCTTGGGAATCGTCATGTTGCTGGTCACGAGCCATTTCTTGATCGAGGGATCGGCTGGGATTTCACCTGCGAAGATTCGCCTTGTAAATCCCGTCGAAATGCACGATTACCGTTAAGAATGGTCCTCTCGGATACAATTTCTATCTCAATGACTCGTGCTCCCGCCATGAACTCTGAAATCGGTATTCATTTCGTCTTCCGTCATCGTCTCCACTTGCACCGAATTTCATTCGTTAAGGTGAGGTACTTCCAGAGATGTGGAAATTATGGTTGAGGGTCTACAGGGACGTGGATGTGTCCTACCATTTAGGAGTATCATTCACTCAATATCTCTTACCGAATGAGAATTTCGAAATATCAATTGGCATATTCTATCGATGCAAAATAGTGTAATTCCCGCTCCCTAGAAAAGGAGAGAGGGGAGGGGAGGGAGGGGGGGAAGGTGGTTTTTCTGGTGAACTGGCAACTAGGACATATTTAAAGATTTTTCAGGCTCACGTGGCGGGATGCCTTGATATGTAGTTGACTCATTTCATTCATGAGAAAATTGTTATCCTCACCAAGTGGCGGGTCGAGTAGATACAACGACTTCGATCCTCTGTTGACTGGGCCGTGATATGGTGGATCGTCTCCAGCGGGGTCTGAATCCCCGTAGGCATATATCACGTGGATCGTGTCGCCCTAGTCGCAAAAAAGGGCAATCAAGATCAGACAATCGTAAATTAACCTTTAATTAATTTTTTTTATCGATAGAGCTTTGCTTCCGTCTTTGTATACGTTTGATCGTCGCGGTGATCTCACCAAAGATGTCACAATTTGATGAACGGATAGCTTCACTGACCGTGATGTAATAGTCCTCGTCGATGTCGCAGGTGTCGATTGCCCTCTTGAACCGAATGATGGTCGTCGATCCATTTTCCACGGCAGATACGAGCTTGTAGTTGTTAACTTTGTCCACTTTAGGGACTTCGTATTCCGATCCCACGTGCCTATCCTGTAAGAAAATGCAGACGATCGCGCCAGTTCCCTCAAGGACCACCGCGATCCCCTCGAATCTGAGGGAAACTCACGGTGAAGAAGACCTTCCCACCCCTGACCCAAGCCGTAACGACATCCGAATCCCGCATCCCTCCGCTCGAAGAGAATCCCAACCCCACCCACCCGAGCGTCCTCACGGCATATTCGAACTCGATGACCCCGGCACGGACGTCAGGCGTCCACGACAGATGCACCTTCTCGTCGTAGTCCAACGTCTCCTCTCGTTCCCATCCGTTCGCAGTGGGCAGAGAAATCCCCCCGAAGACGAACCAGATTCCAAGAGTAAGTCGAATCGCCTTCGACGCCATCTCATCGACCGCCCCTCCTCTTCTAATATATTGTTACCACGTACAATTAAAAAAAGAATAAAATGTTGCAGCAAGTTCGTCGTCGCAACCCAGCCACCCACGAACGAAGACACACTGCCTGTTGTGCCGCTTGCCACGTCCCGATCGATGGCAATCTCGCAGTACCCCGAATCGGCGCACTTCCCCGAATCCCTAAACGCTTCGATATGGATTTGAGGCATCGGTCGCATGGATTTTTCAGGTCCCACGCCCCTGATGTCTCGTTACTTTGATCGATTCATTTTATCAATGGATGAACCCGTCCCGTTCGGGCTGCGAGGCTCATCTCGCATGCGGTAATCCGGGGTAATCCGATGTAATCCTCGGATTTAAACGAAGACTCGATTAATGATCCCTTGCCTCTCTCACCGCAAATCTTTGAAACCTCGGACAAACTTAATTTCAACCGGAAGAGACTGACAGACAAATTGGCCTTTAACGGGCCAATAATTTGTGCTGGAGTCTCGTCACGATCCTGCAATCAATTTCCAGTTTAGCTAATCCCTTTTCGATTTTTACTCTTTGCCTTGCTGAAAGTACGCCTACACAGTATGGCCTGTACAGAGAATCCATTTGATCCGAGAGATCATCTGTCGATCATTAGTCGATCATCAGAGATCCGAAGAAGTGGTTTAGAGGAAAGTGTCGCGGCGAAAGAGACCGGGAGTCGCGAGGGGGCGTGCCGACCGCGAAGAGCCGCGTTCGCGAAGTCGCGACCGTCGCGGGTCGGTTTGACGATGACGTCACCGTTGAATCTCCACGAGTGAAATACGAAATTGATCTCCAAGAAAGGTCCCGATGTCCTTTACATTCCTGTTTATTTTCTATTATTTCTATCCATGAATTTCAAATTTGGTTTCTCAAGTGGAGAAGCACTTGTTCTTCGAGTGCAAAAGCTTGAGTCTTACCTTCCTTTAAGAGTGTTGCACGATTTATACGTATTTGAGGTGTACAGAATATTTATATGCATTTCCTACCTGAGTGTCACTGTCACCATTTGTGCTGAGGAAATTCATGGTCCGAAGCTCAACACACCTTGTCTTCGGTGATATTTCCCATGGGTTCCCATGGGTCTGGACGCCAGCAGATTGCACGGCTGACTGCGTTCCAGGGGGCTATGGTGGTCAGGAGTCAGGAGAGTTAGTGATATCAAGAGGCGATTTCGCCCATTTCATTACACTTACTTTTATTAAACCTCATGAGCCATTTCTTGCTCCACTAATCCAAAAAACGTAAATCTCACTCGGCTCGAGCCCTGTTCGCCTCCCCCTTTATGGTAAACCCTATCTTGGTGTCGTCGGCAAACTTACTTAACTTACCCTCTACTCCGAGATCCAAATCGTTTATGTAGACCGAAAACAAACAGTGGTGCTTCTTTTGGCCAGCATTCTCATGTGTACTGAGGTCGATGGCCGCTGCAATGTTGCGAGAGATTCCCGGGCCTGGTTTATGCACTATAGTGCACTATTTACATTCTTCTATGCTCTATTTATGTTCACGCTCTATGATTGTCACTGGAGACCCGGCTACTTCGCCGAGCAGCGGATGCCCTTTCTTCATCTTCGCGATATTTTCTCCGCGACAAGGCGTAAATGCCACGCCGGCAGCAAAATTCCTCTTCATTGACCACATCATTTTAATCTTAAAAAAAAATTGTCAGGAAAAATTCTATTCCAAATATTCCCCAAGTGAAATTTTGGAGAGAAAAAAAAAATCAAGTTGGGGTAATTGCTAACTTGTGTGAATGCTAAAAAAAAAATACCCAATTTTAAATTTGTTCCACTGAACACACATCCAAAGGTTACCCCAAGTTTTGCATCTGGAAAACTTTGGGACCCCTAACTGGAACTTTGAAATTCAACAAAATTAAGAATTGTGCATACATAAAAACATTGGAAATTCAAATGAGTAAATTTCATGCAGCAGCAAGTGGTGGATGGCCCCCTTTTTTTTCTTTTTTTTTTAAACAAATTTCTTCCCAAACATTTTGAAATGGAATGACCTGAATGCAGTGACTTTTCTCCACAGCCATGTTCAAATCGCCATTTTTTTGGCGATCCGAGTGAATCTTCGCCATTTGTGACGATCAAGGAAAGTCAACATTTCCTCTTGGACGACTCGTTGAAAGAAGGGATTCCTCCAACTCAACGGTTAACCAGCGGTCACCAGGTCAATCTTTTTCAAGATACATTTATCATTTCATTCCAATGTGATACCTGCCCCTGCACAAAATATCTTGGCATATTTGACCCCCCCAATCACGACCAAACACAGTTAATCCGTAATGCGCAGATAAGACCTGTATTTTTTTAAAATCATGCTTTGATGAAGAGACGCTGTAATGCAATACAATACTATGCGCAAAACATATGTAGTGGCACCAGCTATCTAGATCTTTATAAACCCTTAGGTACGTGGCGTGCATTTGCTATTGCATGTTTTTCTTTTTTTCTTCGTATTCTCAAATTGCTCGTTTTCGCACACATCAAGGTCACAAGGAGTTTACGAGTGACAACGTGCGTGACGTAACACTCGACTTTGCGGAAGGGTGCAATTTTGTTTGCGGAAACCTTTGACTTTGGCACTGGAGCCACTGGAGCAGCTTGGAGCGCAGACAAGAAAAGGATTAAAAGTTGTAACACTTTATCGCTTGGATCGAATTTCACGCAAGCGCTTGCGCAATCCGAATGAGGTTTTCCGCTGCATGATTGCATCTGGAGCTGTATTATTCAGAAGCAGTCTTAGCCTTTGGGCGTCGCCCGACCCTTCCCCGGAAGTTATTCGCTCTCGCGCGTCACAATATAAAAATTGGATTCGTGTTGTTAGGGAATTATTTATGTGCTGTTTAGGCGATTCGATTCGCGAAAAGAGACGCGATCGCGACCCATCCGACACACTCACAACTCGTTTATTACGATAAGAACGTGCTCTATGAAACCGTGGTCCCCTTTACAAATGACTTTGAGCCATTTGGTCATCGTCCGTGATGTCTGCCGTTGAAATTTCTTCTCCCGGTTCCGGCTCCATAGTGACTTCCGCCGTGAAAGTGATGACCTCTGTCGAACCGGGGTCCATCCGCTTCGGGGGAGAGACGTTGGGAGCCGATCCGTAGGGAAAACGATGTCGTCGAGGGCGGTCGGTCGATCGCGGGTTCGCGTCCAGGAAGCCGGGATCGCTGGCTCTGGGGTCGCTGGCTCTGGCCTTGTGGCGGTCGGGCAGGCTCCTGAAGGTGCTCCACGTCGGCATGGGGGGCAACTTCGGCAGGGGGGGCGGGGAAGGGGCGCCGGATCCGGATGACCACGTCCCGCCGCTGTCGTCGTCGGCGTCCATCGCGTGGTTCGATAAGCTGCCTTCTAGGGTCTTTCCTTCCTGCTTCCTTTTCTCCTACGGATGAACGAAAACGCCGAAATTCTTGTCTCCGTTTCGTGATGCATGCGTTTCGTGAACATAAACATTTATGGACTACACTTCTACTTTAACCTTTTCAGACCTAAATTAAGGCCACTATCGAAATGATATCTTTTTTTTTGCATTTTCACCTCTTTCGCTATTGAATTAATATTTTTATGTTCTATATATTGTTTTTGTATTTCTTTAAAAAAAAATTTACCACACCGTATGCAGGGTGATTCAAAAGTCACCAAATTTGATATTAACACGCAATTGCCTCATGAGATGGAAGGAACAGGGCCCAGAGGGCCATGGAACCAAGGGAATGTGCACTGTTGCTTCCGTCAAATGATTATATCTCATGAGGATAATTATATCTCATGAATTCAAATTTGATATCGTTAGAAAGGGCATAAAAAACGCTTGGAATCAATATTGAAACCACGAGTTCCAACCATGGCTAGATGTCTTCCACTGAACTTAATCAAACTGTTTGGTTAAGTGGAAGTACTTGTATTAACTTTGGAGTATAATGTCTTAGAACAATCCAAAGATGGCAGTTTCACAATTAAAATAACAACTTAACGAAGCTTTTATCTCGAATGGAAGAGAAGCTATAACAAAAATAGCCTCATATTTCCAGTCCATATAGGCGCCAGGAGTAAAAAAAAAAACAAACTCAAATTTATTTTCTTGTAATCAATTCCTCTACATGCATACCGATTTTTCGAAAATCGAAGATGGTTGAGCTCATCCTCTGGTCGATTTGGTGTGGAGTGATCCAAGAGTCAAGAAAGGTTACGCTAATTATGACTCTTTTTCGGTTGTTTCTTCCGAAGTATCTTTCGCCCCACACTAATATTATACCAAACTGCTCAGGAGGAGCAGACAAATCGAGTGATACCATATAGGGCACCAAAAAGAATGTAGGTGACTTTTGAATCATCCTGTATATAATGTATAATAACATTAAATTGCATAACTAAAGATTATAAAACTGACAGGTGAATGAAGGCCTCTTATGAATTGAGCCGTGCATAATTGCATCCATTGTAGTGCAATATGGGCACGAAGTCACGAGAATCCCCCAAAAAATAGCATCGACACAATGAAAATGCAATGTCCATTGGAATGGACGCCAGGCCTGAAGGGGTTTAAGGGTTAAAAATGATTTTATGGCCATAATTGGATTATGAAGAAGTATGAATAGCCCAAAAGACAATGGAACCAAAGTTTTCATCGCCAAATTCACGAACTCGATGAAAGTGAACTGATGCTTACGGCAGCCAACACTCGATACCGCTGTAAATCCTCTCGAGATCGTCTAAAGCATGCAGCTCCGAGGAAGGACAAAATGAGCAGGCACAGTCCAGTGGCGAGGCCGCCCAAGATCAGAGCCAACGTCCAGGCGTCGGCTTCCTGGGGAAAAACCAAGCAGAGGAAGATGAGTCGTGGAGGGGATGGGGGCGGGCCGGGGCGGGGAAGGGAGGGAGGAGGTCACATTTTCTATGGAGAGTGCGGTGGTTGCGGGGCTGCAGAAGTTCTCGTCGGATCCGTCTGGGCAGTCTTTGATTTCGTCGCAGGTTAACGAGGATGGGATGCAGAAACCGGGATTACACGACCAACAGCGTCCATCTGAATCATTTACATAGGAAGGATAATGTATGATCATGCATCTAAATGTGAACGAGACGATCGACTCAATTTCAGCCCAAGCAGCATGTTTACGTAAACAAGATATCAATTCCTTGCAAACAATGTAAATTTATTGCGATTGCCATGAAAATGACATCACGTTTACGTAAAATTTACGTTCCTACATTTACTTCACCAAAGT